TAGATACACGTGGGTCTGATTTCTTAGGAGATTCTGCCACAGGGACCATCTCAGTTCGTTATATTGTTTTTGCAAAAAAAAAACTTTTTGGTACAGCTTATCTAGGAGGTGCTCTTCTAATAGCTGCACAAATAGTATAAAAATAATTGTCTAAATAAGCTGGTCTAACCTGACTTCTGTTTTTTTACTACAAATAAGAGCGGTAGGAATAAATGCCGCTGAAATAAGATGCAAAACACATATCGTTTGACTGGTTTTTCAGCTTACTTTAACCATAAATAGCTTATAAGCGATATCAAACCCTTTGTCCGTGTCAAATCAAACATCTTTGGAACATATGAATTTATTTAGTAAAATTATATAGAAATTTTATAAGAATCAGTTTCATTTTTCATATAAAAATACAAAAAACAAACGTTTGAAAAAAGAAGAAGAGTTTGGCTATTTTATACTCCGTACGTACAAACCAAACGTGCCTAGGAGGCCTCGCCGTGACCGTGAGCATTTCTTCTAGATAGATGCCACTGCGTTTCGAGCCACTTTGGACGATCCGAGCAGAGCAAGCGACCAAGAGTCCAACTGTCCAAGGCAGCGGCTCGGCCCAAACTGTGCAAGGCCGCTTTAGCGAGACAAACCCGAGAATTTTATCAATCTCGCTCAGCGGGCTCACACGTCAGACTTGCGTATACGGCTTTAACCATATACAACGAGCGCACCCACCACCACCATCATCGTCATCGCCCCCCTCCGCGAAGAGATCCCTTCGTCGGGGAAGAGAACCCGCCACGAGACCTACCGTTCCTCAATCCTCCGACCCCCATGGCCTCCTCCTCCTCCTCGGCCCTCCCTCTCCTCTCCCTCCTCCTCGCGCTGCTGCTCCTCTCCGCCCCCTCGCCGTCCGCCTCCGCCGAGCTCGCCTTCCTCACCGCTTCCTCCAACGGCTCCGCCTCCATCTCCGCCGACCCGGAGCTGGAGGACCTGGCCCCGGAGCCCACCTTCCTCGAGGAGGTCATCGACGCCGTCTCGGAGAAGTACGACTGGGACCCGGACGCCGAGGTCAGGGTCTGGCCGCTCGACGCCGACGCCGTCCGCGTCGGCGCCGTGCAGCGGTACGAGTTCCGGGCGCGGGCGGGCGGGTCGGCGGCGCTGGCGCGGTTCTCCGACGAGGCCGTGCAGTGGAGACGCCCCTCCGCGCCGGCCGTCGAGGAGGTGGACGGGCCGGACGGTGTCGACGTCGTCCCCGCCGAAGGCGCGTTCGGGTTCGACACCGGTGTGAGGAACGTGGAGCTGGTTGGGCCGCTGGAATTGAAGCTTGCTGGCAACGAGGACGGTGGCCTCGTCGAGCTCCAGTTACCATCGGTGAGTGGGTTGACTTTGACCTGGCGCTGTTCCCGATTTTGCATCCGATCCCGATCAGTTGCTTGCATGCTAGTTTCTACTGTAGTAAAGGTTGGTTTAAAAGTTGTGTTAGTTCAAAGCTTTGATGGTTAGGGTTCAACAGCTGAGTTGATTTAGCAGCAGCTAGTACTGTGTGGAAGTATATCTGCACGTATATATTTTTTCCCCATTATTTAGTGTTGCTTATGACTTTATATTTTTTGTTTGTTTGTAGTAGTTGAATGTCAAATCAGTAAGGACCCTGGTTTAGTTTGTTTTGTGTGTTCAAATTGTACTGACACTTCAATAGTTTTTGCCCAAATTTTTGCTGCTGTTGCCCATTGGTAAGGTAATTGTGTAGAATCAGAATTCAGCTTGATTCAAGGTGCTGTTCTAACTTGTCTAAATTGGGGTTATCAAGTAACGGACCGTTGATGGTGAAGGTTAAGCATAGTGTAATATATTGTGTTCATTTCAGTTTCAGTAGGTAATCATTGGTGCATGTTATATAGAAATTTGTTATTAATGGATACAGATAGATGGCAGTTCTCATAGACATTCAAATTAGGATGCTTCTGTCCTTTTTGTCCCTGCTTTAAAGATGCAAATTAGATAGATGGCTGTTTTCTTAGATTGAAGGGAATGTAACTTTCTGATTGTTTAAGTTGGAACCAAAGCAAATTAGATAGATGGCTGTTTTCTTAGATTGAAGTGAATGTAACTTTCTGATTGTTTAAGTTGGAACCAAATGTAGCTCAACAAAGAGAAAAGACAAGATGGAATGACCGGGTGACACAGAAAACAAATGTTGTTTTTCTGGCTTGTCATATACTGTGGGTATTGCTGGCTTTGCTGAGTATAATGGAGAAGGGCATGAATAGGATAACAGGACATGGAGATTTACTTTGGTTATGGAGTGAAATCTATGGTTCTTTTTGGAGAGGTTTAGGTTTTACAAGTATTGCTGCAGCGATCTTGTTATTCTGTTTTGTCCCTTTTTTTGACTGTTATAAGAACTTCGCGGTATTATTAATGCATAAAGCAATACATGTTGCAGCACCATTGCAATAGCAGCACAAGCAACCCCATCGATGCTTACTGGTTAGAACTTTGCTGGATAGATTTTGGATATTTGATTTGGAATTATGCTGCCAAGGTCACTTTTGAACCTCTGTCTTACTAATTCACTTTTCAATTGAAATTTGATGAGCATTTGACAAAAGCTTATGGTTTCTTGGTTTGCTGCATATAGTACCCAGTCTTTGATGAATTAGTGAAGTCTACCACTTCATATTCTGTGCTAGTATCTTTTCATGAATTTACAACAATCACTGTAGGCTAAATTGTGATTGGTAGATTTTTATGGCCATCCTGTTTTATTGAACTTATGTTTCATCAATTCATAGCATTAGGAAATGTACATTGTAATTTGATCCTCGATTGTTTGCAGAATCTTATGTTGCACTTATTAATTCTTATGCAGGGTAATGCCACATATACAAGGCTTAAGAGGATATTTGTTGCAGATGGCATTGCATTAAAGGTCATTGGTGCACAGAAAGTTTCCGTAACCCACCCTCACAGTATAGGTCTTTTATCAAATGGAAGTTTGTTGACTAGTAACAACGACCTAAGCCAAATATGGCCTTTGAGCTACTCAACCTGTGCCCCATTACTTCAAGTGGGTGTTGTAGGATCAGTCGTAATTGTTGTGCATCAAACAAGTGTATCTGGAGGCCATGTGAAGACTTCCTTAAGGTCACATGACACTATAGAGTTATTGTCAGACAAGTGTAAAGTCAACATAGCAACTCGGTTGATATCAGAGTTTTTGTTTTCCTCAATTAGCCCAAGACTGATAAAGCTTGAGAAGATCTTGAAGACTTGGTTTAGCAAAAGAAACCACGAGAATAGCTCAATGCACTTCATTGAAGCTAAAGTGACATCAATACCTTTGGTGAAATTCCGTTTGGAGTTTGAAAGGGACGTCACTGAAGATGATCCCATCTGGGAAGATGTTCCAGAGTGGAAAACGAAACCCATGGTCCAGCGTGTCCCAGTTGACATTATAGCCAGAGTGGAAGATGATGATAGGCTGAAGGCTATTTCGGTGAAGAAGGTTAGAAGGCAGTTTCCAGTAGTGGACACCACTACTTGGGGCAGCCTTGCTTCAAATATTTCTTTCACAAAGTTTCTGTCATTCATTTTGCCACCAGAGCCGCTGTCGCTGGATGTAAAGTGGTAATAGATTTTGCTCTGATCTGCTTCTCGTAGGGCTGATAGGAAATTGCATATACACATCGATTTCATGTATACTTAGGCTGGAAGTGTGCCTGAAAGTGAAATGGGCTGTAACATAATGTTCAAATTTTGTATTGCTTCTGGCAATTGTGTGGGTACAATCTTACATTATTCATACTGCCTTCTTGCAATGGCTGTCTTTAGCACCTTGCATGTTCTGAGTACATCTGCCTTGTTCAATTTTATACCCAAGCATATATTGATGATTTTTCAACCAGTACTATATTTTAGCCTTTTTTTTGTATTATCAGCAATTTTTCTGATGGAACTCCTGGCCCTCAGCCTTCAGCTCAACCACTGCCCGTTTCAGCACAATGACATATTTCCTCCGTTCTAAAATAAATAACACTCCTCATCTTCTTCTCTTTTCTAGATCTCCTCATCTTCTCTTTTTTTCTAGAGAATATCAGTTATCCTCATCTCCTTTCCTTTTTCCAGAGAATCTCTCTTGGATGCAGTTATCATTGCATACACTTGTGATTAGCTTCACCATTAAAACACATCCCACATGTTTTCGTTTGCGTACACTAATGATTAGCTGCAGCATTAAAACGCATCCTAGGTTTTTGTAGTGTTATTTTTAAAACGAATTTTAAACCTTAGAAAATTATTTATTTTAAGACGGAGAGTACAAACTAATCAGTTTGTCTTAATTGTCTTATCTTTGGAACGGAAGCATAATTCTCTTATACTGCTGAGTTCTAAAGCATATGAAATATCTGGTAAAACAGAGTAACAGATGAAAATATTCGGTTGCAAAAATAATAACAGACAAGAACATCAGGCAAGGTAGTAATGAACCTGCACTGCGATAGAACAAAACAGGACGAACAGGAACTATGCTCACAAAATTGTCATACATCATGAATGAATACCATCACGGATTCAACCAAAACCTTAGCACCACGCTGACCTTGCCTTGAATCTTTGATCCACGATTCAGGAATGGAAAGATACATAATACAAGCTGAGCAATCTTTAATGCTTTGTATTTCCTTAACATAAGTTTCGAGCACCAACTCGTCTCATAAAACAAGAAAACTGCCATCCTCATCCTACAGTCCTTGATGCTCGTTCATCTACTTCTGCAACATTTATATGACATTCATTCCTACAGAGTACAAGAATTGTTGCCTTCAAACAAGCATCTGCCCGTTGGGAGGGGAAAAACTAATCTGTCAGCCAACCTGCCAATCGGCATTTGAGGAAAGGCTACAACCAATAAATAAAGAACCCCACGGCTCAGCATATCACTTGTCAGTAAAGCTCAGCCGGGAAAGGAAAAATGGGCCTGCAACATGTGGTATTGCCACAATGTATTATCAGGATGCGGCAGCTGCGTACTGCGCCATGTCATACTCATATATTGTATCTGTTATTCTCGATGGTGGCCAATATCGAAGGACAGATCTCCCGAGGATGTTCTTAACTGGAAGCGGACCCCTGCAGAAACAACACATGAGCTTTTGCTGTAGAAACTGGGGTTAAAAACTGAAACATAAATCCTCTATTAGAGGTTTAGCATACCAGTTATGTGAATCAAAGCTGTTGTTTCTGTTATCCCCCAGTACAAAGACATAGCCTTCAGGCACAGTCTGACCAAGCAACAACAATTAATCAGCACGTGTATATGGATTCAGTGGATGAAAGTAGTAGTAAACTTAATATGTGATCAACACATAACAGGTGCACCCATAGAACTATCCACCAACATAGAACACAGGAATAATTTTAAGGTCACAACCAATTTCTAACAATTAAAAAGTCAAGAATTGATGCCACATAACTATGATGGTGTCAACTTACTTACAGGACTACACAATAATGGTTCTTGAGTAGCATGTGGTAAGAAGATTAGTTATTATACCAGCGGATCCATTTCGTAGTCGGCTGGTTCCAGCACAAAGTCCTCCTCCTGAACTACTCCATTAACCAACAAGTTACCATCACGTACCTATTAAATACAAGGGACACCAATTGGCTCATATAATCCCCGAAAATCAAAAAAGTAATGCCAAAATTATGGAAAATATAAAGAGGTTACTACCATTGGGATAAAAGCTTACTTCAACGATGTCCCCGCCCTTAGCCACAACTCTCTTGATGAACACATCACCTGAGTTGTAGCCCAATGCCTACAAAGATTGTTCTTATTATAATAAGAAGATCTAAGGAACTACAAAAGACAAAATGGAGAAACAAGGTATCACACCTGAAGGACTGGAGGTGCATGAAAGATCACAATGTCCAAAATTTCTGGCTCCCGGAAAATGTACGAAACCTACAGTCACAATAGGGGCTGGACATTAGATGCCTGTTCACCATTATAAGCAAATGATACATAATAAACACACATCAGTATTCATATAACCACTGGCAGAGCCAAGTGCAGGCCATACTGGGCACCGCCCCCCCCTTGCTATCCAAGATTAATTAAGGTTTACTCCGTATATGTATATAATTGCAAGTCTAAACTGTCCATCTAGAGAGCTAGATATTCTAAGTTTGCCTTCTTTGCAAAGTGCGCATATAAATCAGTAGTTGTTTCATCTCTTTAGCAAGTACTAGCTGATCGACCACAAAACTATGATCAATCTGACCAATTTGGCCCCCCCTTGATTGTTGATTCTAGCTCCGCCACTGCATATAACAAAGGGAACCAAAATAAAACATACCTTCTCAGCAAGGATCCGATCACCAACATCAAATGTTGGGAACATTGACCTGGATGGGATGGACCTAGGCTCAGCTAGGGATGATTTATAGAGCAGTGGCACGGTCACAGCGGCAAAGACAGTCTTTGCATCATCTGAGCATGAGTTCACCCACCTTGAGAGCCAACCGGTCTTCCTTCTCACCCCTGCTCCAGCAGGAAGACTTGCACCGCTCTTCTTCATCATTCCAGCTGCACCAGAGGCAATAGCCCCCCTTCCAATCACAGCTGAACCTGAGGCGATGCTAGCACTACCAACCAATGCTTGTATGCCGACCTTGGAAGGAGCAGCAACAGCAGGTGATGGCACAGGTGAAGGACAGGGAGATGGAGCGGCTGCCCGTGGTGCAGGACGAGGCGATGGCGCAGCTGTGCGCGGTGCAGGTGCAGCTGTGCGCGGTGCAGGCGCAGCCATGGCACCTGCTGGGCGTCCTGAACTGCGAGACGCCGTCGTGGCAGTGACTACGTCGCTGCAGGGGAGCCATTTGGTCGCCTGCAGGAACGGGAGGAGCGCCGAAGGGTTGAACCCGGCTGATATTGATGGCAAGGCAGCGAGGGAGGATGCACCAGTAATGCCACCAGTCGATCCCATACCAGACGTTAACACCGACAGCAGCCCAACGGCCAACGAGGCTGGGGGGTCATCCACTGGCGCCGCCGCCTTTGTGGAACACGACCGCGGCAGCAACAATGAGTACCCGCCTCCAGCTGCGGCGGCGGGGGGCAGAGCCTTGGGCATGGGCTTCGGGTGGTTGTGATCCTCGGCGTCATGGTGGGCATCGGCGCGGCGGGAGGAGGCGAAGAGGCAGAAGGGGCGGGATAGCGCGTCCTGGAGAAAGCGGCACCCCGCTCCGGGCGCCGCGCCAGCGCCCGCCGCGGCGGCGGTGCAGCGCAGGCCGAAGGACGCGGCCAGGTTCTGCGCCACGTAGCCCGAGTAGGACACGGTGATGCGGATCGCCATCGCGGCGGCGCTTCGCGCACGCGCGAAGGCGGAGGCGGAGGAGGGTACACTTGGGTCCTTTGACCTTACTGAAGATTGCGGCCCATTCCGATCGGGTGGCCGTCGGCGGGACGGCGCGCGGGGTATCGGAGATCTAGGGTTCGGCGGGTGGGCGGCCGGAGGCGGCTACCGGGATCCTCGGAGTAGGAGATACGGATCGAGTAGCAGGGGGCGAGTGACCGGCGAGGTGCGTCCTCGCTGGCGGCGGCTGCCGAGGTCAACGTCGGAGGCGGCGGGGTTGTTGGGGAGGAAGGGGAGAGATGCGGGGTGCAGCAGGCCTGGAAGCCGGGAGGGGAAGGGACGACGCGGCTCTTTTATGTCGTTGCAGCTGAGGAGTTCGTGGAGGCCGCTCGGATTTTCGGGGATTTTTTCTACGGGGTGGCCCAACTAGGTTGGAACGAGTGCGGTGGCCGGTGGGTGGCCAGTGGGTGGATAACTGGATATCGCCGTATTGCAAAGTTCTGGGAGAGAAAAAACGACAGCATAGAGAGGGTGGTTTTCCTTTTTCACGTTTGGATCATTTGGGTGTTTTGTTGTGCTTTGTGTTTCCCATCACTAGCATATATTTTCCACCACGTATTTTGAATAGGGGCGTGGCTAACGCTCCCTCGTCTCGAGTCCGCACCCACTGACCCACGTCTCGCTTGCCCTGTCCGCAAGTACCTAGGGCCCGTCCGCGCTAGTAGGGACCCTCTCCATCTTTCCACGTTTGACATCGAGGCGAGATAGCACAAAGACGAGGAGGAAGATGCAACATTCGATATAGTTTTATAATATCTAGATGCAACAATTACAACATACGTCTAAAAATAAATGAAACATTTGAAACATGCGTTTGAAACACTTAAAAAACACTTAAACCATTGTAAATATACACAACATTCAGATAAAACACTTGTATCATATGTGTGAAAACATATACAACATCCAGATAAACACACTTGCGACGTACGTCGAAAAAAAAACAGATGTAACATTGAGAACATGAGCTTGTAACATACGTGTCCAACCATTACAACATATGCAACATCCCAATCTACTTTTGCAATATCCGTATAAAATACTTGTAATATACCTCTGAAACATTTGAACACTTGAAACAGACGCTTGCAAGATGTGTTTTTACCCTTCTTCTTCAAACATAGCGCAGAAAATCCGCCACTTAGCGCCGAGGATGGTGGGCGTGTATGACATGTATTTTTACCCTTCTTCGTGCGCTCGCGTAAGTACTGAAAATTTCGCACCACCCGACTCCGGCCAGCTTCTCCTTACATTGCTACATGCAGCATCTTCCAAATGATAGGATGGTGGGGCGGCACACAACCGCTGCTAGCCAGCGCGGACGGGACCTACGTCTGGCCAGTGACACCCCTCTCTCCTGGCCGCCTAACCTGGCCAGCAATCATACAGGTCAGGTCAACCATCAAGCACGGCAACCATGCACCGTTGATGTCAACAGCTCAAAAAAAATCATTCATAAACGTACTTGCCGCCACACCTTTTACAGAGTTTGGTCAATTTTATATTAGAATATATTCGATACATATGCTAGTTACTAGTTGGTTAAAAATTAGCTCAAATTAGCTATGATTAGCTAGCTAGTTGTCTAACAAGTAGTTAAATATTTGACTAAAAAATTAGTCCATTGGTCCTCTTATTTAGATAAACTAGAGCTAATTTGAGCTAAATTGGTTAGCTAACAATTAACTCATGGTATTCAAACATGCCCTTATATTCTAGCTAACAATTAGCTAATTTGATTAACAATTTTGTGATATTGGTGGGCGCAACAAATAAGGACAAAAAAAAATTGATTGGTTGGGAAAGGAGAAAATGATGAAGCCAAAAGCCAAAGGTGGATTGAGATTTCATGATTTACACGCTTTCAGTATTGCTATTCTAGCAAGACAAGGGTGGAGAATAATTCAATATCCTTTCTCTTTGTGTGCTCAAGTTTTAAAAACAAGATATTTTCTAAGATCCGAAGCTCTTCATGCTCACCAAAGGGATAGAATATCATATACTCCCTCCATCCCAAATTGGAAGACGTTTGACTTTTTTGCCCCAAGTTTGACCACTCGTCTTATTCAAAAAATTTGTGCAAATATAGTCAAATTTAAGTCATTCTTGAAGAATTTTTATTAATAAACAAAACCACGACGAAAGAAGTGATATTTTACACAAATTTTTGAATAAGACGAGTGGTCAAACTTGATGTTAAAAAAGTCAAACGTCTTATAATTTGGGATAGATTGAGTACATGGAGAAGCATCCTAAAGGGTATTCAACTCCTGAAAAAAGGCATAATTTGGAGGGTTTGGAATGGAGATCGAATCAACATATGGGATGACCCTTGGCTGTCGAGAGCACAAAATAGATTTATCAAAAACACATCGTTGTTTAACTTTAGTCTCAAAAGTTAGAGAACTTATTGATCCTGTTACTGGGTAGTGGGATGTCTGCAGGATGGTGCAACCGTGCAAGACATTGTTTTTGATACTGATGTAATACTGAGAATACCTTTATGTGATGATAAGTGGACTTTTTAGCTTCCCATCCTGACGCGAAGGGCAAGTTTTCTGTTAAATCAGCCTACAAACTATACATCCGTGAGCTAAGAACAGGAAGAAACTTACAAGTTCACTCAGAAAGGGATGACGATGATTTTAATTGGAAATGGATATGGGAATATCAAGTCCCAAATAAGATGAAGCACTTTATTTAGAACTTGACCCATAATAGTTTACCTTTAGGACATGATTCAAAAAAAAAGGAAGATGAAGCTTGACACTATGTCCAATATGTCATCGACTGAATGAAGATGGAGGACATCTGAGGGGATTGTGACGTTTAAGAGGGCTGGGCTTTTTAAAAATTTGCTTCTAAAACTATGGCATCTAATTTCACCTAGTAAAAATCAATGCAATAAATAATCTATCTAGATATGCAACTAAGGTTTTGCTAGATGTGTTACTATCTCAACCGCAAAAAAGTTATGCAACCTAGATTTCGAACCTATCAACTAGCCTAGCAAGCTAAACTAGAATAGTAAAGCACACAACCTAATAAGTAGACGATCTAAATGCGGAAGCTTGGCATAAAAAAATGCGGAAGCTTAATTAAGTAGACGACTCCGGTATTTGTACCGAGGTATCTGGAAGCTTCTCGCTCCCTCTAATCCTTGTTGGAGCCCCTCACGAGGATGCCTTCATAAGAGTTAAGCTCCCGGTCAGGTAACTCTATGGATTGCCCCCGGCTCTTCCCCACGTGCAAGTGGGTATTTGAGATTGCCTCTCCCGGACTGTTCCCTGCCATCTTCAATATCGAGCTTCCGACCAAATAGCCGAGGGCCTTGTTCCCTCCTATACACGGTGGCGGACACACCACAAACACGGTTGGTGTGGTCTTACAAGACTATAAGTCCCTTCGAGTACAACAATGTTGCTCGCAAACACCGAGTCGTAAGAGGTATGCAAACCTCATTAAACGCTAGGCCTAAACCTAAAGCAAGCGCATAAGCGATGCTTTAACTAACCTAAACACCTCGCAAGGCACCTATGCTAATCACCCACTAAGCACATTGGTGGCTAGGACAACTAGAGATGAGCCTCAACTCACACAACATGTCCTTGAGCTCCATGCACACTCACTTGACCGACCAAAGGGGTATATATAGCCTGCAACTCCACACATAGCCCTTGGTGGCATGCAAACTTTATGCGCACTCACCGGATAATTCCAGTGGATACCACCGGTGTAGGGTTGAGATGACGGACTAGAGGGGGTGAATAGTCCTTTCTAAAATTAATCGTGTCGGCTAACCGAAACAAGTGCGGAATTAAAACTATCGGTCTAGCCAAGACTACACCCCTTTATTTAAGTTCTCTAGCACCTTCCAAATATACTAATTAAGTAACAAAGGTGCCGGGCTACCTAGAGCTCACCTAACTAATTCTAGAATCAAGGTCACATAAACCTATGCCACTAGTACTTTAAGCAACAAGGGAGCTCCTACACATGCTAGTAAGCAAAAGCACAAAACCACCTAATGCTCACTAGCAATGCTCAATAACAAGGCAACCAATGCCAAATTAGAGAGCGCAATTACTTAGCTACACAAATTAAGCAATGTGACTAACAAGGTTACACAAACCAAATTAGCCACGCAAGGGACATGAATGTGCCATGTGTCTCCTTTCCCGGCATGAGTAGCACTTTCTCTTTGCTTGAGCCTTTTCTTCCTTGCTTATGTTGTGCTTCTCTCTGCCTTGCTTCTCCTTGCTTGCTTGAGCCTTCTTCTCAAGCTTGTTTGGACAACCTAAAGCTAGGTGGCCCAATGTGTCACAACTATAGCATATCATGTGAGCAATCTTCTCTATTTTCTCTTCTTTGTTCTTGCTCATTTGCTTTGCATCTTGATTCATCCTTGGACGCAATGCTCTTTCTCTTGCTTTTCCACCCCTTCTAGTTTTATTCTTCTTTATCATCGAATCACCATCTTCATGGTTGATCTTGATTTGCTCTTGTGGTGTCTTCTCTTGCCCAACTTGTGGCTTTGGTTGAGGCTCTTTTAGTTGCTTCACCAATTGCTTGGTTGGGCATATTGAGGTAAGGTGACCCCAAGTGCGGCACTTGAAACACTTCACATGTTTGAGCCTCTCTTTTTCTTTTATCTTTTTGAGCTTCTCAATGTTAGGGCAACCATTTGTAAGGTGTCCCGCTTCATGACACCGGTAGCACATGGTATGAGAGAGCTTTCTTTGTTGTAGCTTCTTCATCTTTCTTTCTCTCTTTCTTTCTTCCATTTGTCATCTTCTTCTTGAAGCCAAGGCCACACTTGTCACCATAGTTTCTTTGAGTCTTCAACATGTGCTCAAAGGTGACTTTTGAGTTGTAGCACCTCTCTAACTTGTTGCTTAAATTTTTCACTTCATTTTTGAGCTTATTGTTTTCCTTCAAAA